TTCGACGATACATGTTGACGACTTCCATGAAGTATTTGTTTTGTGATAAACATTTAAAAATGTATTTTTTATATGATGTCAACGTTTCCTTTAATATAAGCTTTGAAGTTACAATAAACTTTTATTCTATTTGGTTCATAATTTATACTAAGATCTATTAAAGAGATTTTTATCGTTTGGTTGGATGATTTAAATTCCTATTACTTGGATAATATGTAACTTCAGTTTTATTTGTTTATTATAGTTATTAACTATCTGTGTTGTACTCGTAACTTGTAATAGAAACGTAAGAAATGAGACTACTCCAATCTACATTTGAAATTGCTATGCACATTGGCCTTTTTTTTTAATAAATAAAACCAATTTATTCCTTAAATCAATTTCGTATCTTTTTGTAACAAGCAAACCCGCGCGTATAATAACAGTATGTAGTAATAAAACATCTAACGCCGCGACCGTATGTACACCCGTGACGCCACAATGCCGAAACTGTCGATAAGGGCGGGCGATAGGAAGCTTGTCAGATAATACGACGTGTGAAGGTCGACGAATGACTCCCAGCATCCTGGACGACCCTGGATCATGTTACAGTATCTAGCCGAGACTAACATGAACGGATTGAACTTATAGCTTTATGAATTGGTTTATTACGAATCAATAAAAAAAACTTTAAATCAAGTACGAAATATGTCTACATATGTTCGTAAATAAATATCATATATTATAGGAAAGGATCTTCCGTGTATTGGATTTCGGTACTCTGGCAAATAAATCTCCGATTCTCCGAACATCTATCTACATATTTGAACGACAAATTTCATCGAAATGGAAACAACAGAGTAATTTTCGTATTTAATATTAGCACGTTTTTTTTGTACGTATCATGTGCCAAGATAATCTGTTTGTTAATAACGAGTTTTTGGAAGTTCCGAAACTGTTCCTGTTGTAAACTAAGCTATTCATATAATATTTAAACAATGTAATACTTTTCTAAGAATGAAACAATAGAAATATTATAAAGATAATGTTATTATTTTTAAGGCTGTTTCAAAGTTTGTTACAATAGCCGCATTTAGGGCGAGTTCCTATCTCAATACAATAAGGTATTTTAAAAATCTTTACTGGACAATTCGCGGAAGATTTTTCGAAAGTCATAAAATAAAATCGCAAAACATTTTTTATAACACCAATAAAATTACTTAAAGATCATTAAATTGTTAAAAGTTTTATTCTGTTCTTTTGTTTTAAATCGAAGAAAAAGAGGTAAAAATTTAGTTTACAACAAAACGAATACATAAAAGTACTGTGAGATATATAAAAGATAATATACGATTATATTATATTATTCATTTATAGTAATATTTTAAGACAGTAATAATTGAGAAACAAAAACTGCTTTCCTTCCAACAATATGTATATTAATAAATAAGTATAATAAAATTTCTTAATATTTCGTTTCGAATAACGTAAAGTTATGTGCTTCTAATATAAAATATATTATTGTTGCTAAGTTAACCAAAACGCAGGTGCCAGGGATCGAAATCCGAGGTATGATACACCAACAAAGGACATGTCTATTGGCAATTGAATACTAAGAAAATTAGATGTATATTAGAAGGCGTGGGAACACATGCAAGGTGTTACAAATACAGACAGTAAGGAGTAACACACATAACACACGCCGCGCCGAGTAACGAGCGAAAGACTGCAGCGGTATTGTACTGCAGAAATATATCGGGCACAAACGGAACTCGGCTTACAAATACATAGAATAATTTGGGGTTAGCTGAAGTAGGGTAAGTTTTTAGATAAACGCCAACATAACCGTATAGTTTTACATCGGAACAAGTAAATGAAATAGCGGAAGGGTATATCCTAGATAATAATAACGGCTTGAAAGTTGAGTTCATGTAAATATTTTAAGGGGTGACAAAAAACGGATTACTGACTTTCTAACGCATAACGAGGTTAATCCCTATAGTGTACTGACAAATTGGCAGCCGCCACCCCTCGCCATGGACTGTATTTAAAAATATTAAGCAATGTTTATTTTATTTTATTGAAGTTTATGAGAAATAGATAACGGGCTAGGAAGACGGACAAACTCACACATTAAACTTAAGGAACTGTTACGAAACTTAACTAGGGAAGCCACATAATTTATTTACATTAAACAAGTTTAACCTTTTTTCTTATTTGGTTAAATGAAAATATTATAAGATTGTATATAACTCAACCAATAAGCGATTAGTTCATAATAGATTTCAATGAAATTGAATGTGTTTTCAATAACTAATACAATGTTTAGTTTGGTAAAAAGAAACATAGCAAAAAATAATCCTGACACATTGTTAAAACAAACAAACGATTTCATTTGGAAATTATATGTAAAAATATTTCAAGAAAAAATAATATTAAGAGCCATGAATACTTTTACTCTTGGATCCTCTTCCGTAACTTTAAATTCTTGGGCCAAGATAAGTGTATGTGGAACAGTTTATTCATTATTGGGAAGCAAGTTATAAAATACAATTAGTACCTACTGCCCATCTAAATTCTAGATTAATTATATTTGAATACTCTCGATGACGACAATTATATATATCAATTATCAACCTTATTAAACTAAAAAAGGTTTATTTTTAATTTATCTTCAAGTAAATTAATTAGATAAAGTCCTTCAATCTTTATTCTTGTCGTAAAATTTGAACTACGTGCCGAAAAGATACAAAGACCATCCCATTTAAAATTAATAAAATATTTAAAGCAATTATAATGTTATAATATATATAATAAAACGTCTTATTTGTGAGACGACGTCCCTAGTAGTTGGATTGACTGGTTCAGCGTCGCTTTACATGACAATAACTTAACAACAATGACAGTTCGAGATCCTTATTGCGAGGCAGTAAGGTCGCAAGTCGCCTGTCAGAACACCGAAGCTCATTGTCTGCGATCTCTAGTTACCGATGGAAGTGTTCTTCACTTCCTGTATATCTATTTTTTTGTGCGGGAAGAGGGTCGAATGAATGTGAAATTAATTGAAGGGCACTTTCACTGAAAGGGCTACGGTAACCGGCCCTTGATCTAATTTTTCTCCGACCGGTAATAGCGGCTCGCAGCCTCAACAGTTCTATCCCTTTCAAGTTTTTCGTAGTACACTCCTTCGCTAATAGGATTCCACGTTATAATTCTATAGTTTATGAAGTGTCACATGTCTTAATGAAGCCTCTTCATGAGTGTAATGTCGACACCGTCCTCTGTTCACGGTCACCCGCCCGATATTATTAGTTTTTAATTTATTATAATTGAATACAGAATACAGAATGTGTCGTCTGATAAAACCAACATTACGATATCATTTTAAACCAGTTTTTTAATATTTACGTAATTTTGTAACTTTTGCGTTAAGAAATCTGGTCGACGATCCCCTTGATGAATTGTTGAAAAAATCTTATACCTATGTAATAATTTCTTTATCGGCAAGTTATGTATTTATTTGTAAAGAAATTAAAATAAATCTGCACAAACTAGGTACGTCTAACTGTTCAAGGAATATATCTTACTTTGTATGTTATTATTATTTTAAAATACTATTATTAATTACAAGGAAAACCATAGCCACCAGGTATAAGCTAGCAGTGGCTCAGTACACCGGCGCCAATAAACACTCATTATCATTATAGGTATATACTTATACAATGTTGGCGCTTCAAGTGTTAATACTGTTACCATCATATGAAAGTTTACTATATGGGACTATTAAAAGAAAACTCTTGTAACGGCTGAGCAGATATGAATTTAAAAAAAATCATTTTCATTCCCGTTACATTTTATTTCCGTAATTTTACTAATCTATGTTTTAACAGTGCTTATTATAAATAATAAATGAAGTGTCTCTTCTAAAAATAAATTTAGAAAAAATATTAGACATCTATATATGAATATTATAATTAATTTTCTATTACTTGGTGTTTTAAATTATCATAAAAATATTTAATATCGCGTATGAAAAACTTCACAGATCCATAATAGTTAGTTTTTCTGTTCCCGTCTTTTTTTAGTCTGTGTATTCAGGAGTGGACGTGCTTTTTTATTTTTGCAGCTCTGCAAGGAATGCAACCCGCGTTCATTGACCCCTATGGCGGGAAAGTATGGAGCACATAGGTTAAAATACAACCGACAATTTAGGGGAGATTTTTTAAGTGTTTAATATTATACATATTATACTGAATTATTTACGATATAAATATAATGAATGGATGAATTCGACACTCCTTTTAATTTTAAAATCAGCTCAAGTACTTACTTTTATATTAATATTATCTATGGATGCATTTAAAGAAATTAAGTTACAGATTTTGTGTATTATAAATTTAAGACGATAGTATTAATACTAAAATATGTTATATTTATTATTCAGTTATCATTATCTTTAACCGGGGTCTAAATTCTTCAGATCGGTACTTTGGTATTTGTCAAGAGCGTGAAAGACGCTAAGCCTAATTGTTTGCAGACTTAGTCAAAGACAAATAATATAAAGGCAGCACTTCATCAGAACGGGCAGGTATTTCTGCTTCGCGCCATAAGCTGTCGTCTTAGGAATGCCGACCGACTGGCTACGATACCTAAAAAACGAAACGTCACACGTCCGCTCTCTGTGAGAGCCGGCGGCCGAGTGACTAGTGAGCTGAGAGCTCACAGTCCACACTATACAGTCGGCTAGTAGCCGGTACTCAGTACTCGGTAGTCGGTAGCTACCCAGTACCCACCCACCGAGACCTCATCCACACTCACTACGCTGACTACGAACTTCACACGCTATACGACCTCTTCTAAGATACTCTTCTTCGTACACCCTAACACCGGCGAGACGCCGCCGGACAGTTTCCTTCTCTGAAATAACTCTCTGAGGCTTCATATTTCTGAACATAGAATGTGCCACGATATCTTGTAGATTACAACTTACAAGTAATAATCTATACGCCGCGTATTTTCAGATATTCGTGAATGGCATCAAATTAGCCGGTCGGCTAGGGGAGGGGACCGCGCGGGGGGTGCGGGGTGCTAGTGTCGGAGCGGGAGGGGGTGGTGGCGGCGCGGAGGGGCTGAGGGGGCCTATACGCCGCATCAGCGCCGTCGCCGACCGGTCACCGAAGCGCTCTAGTCGCTACTCGCTCGCTAACTCGCGCGTCGCAAAGTAGTCGTGTTCACGGCGCCACACGAATAGCACGCGCGGCTCTTTTTAGAACCGGCCGGCACCCGAATAATGTTTCAGTGTTTAACAAGCTCAATCGGAGGTCTCGGTCGAAGTACCGTATTTAATTTACACTGTATAACCAACCGCATATTCTCAGTGAGTGTTACGCAGTGTGTAAGAAAAAAACTTTGTCGAAGATTCTGAAGAATTTTGTGTAAAATTGTGTAACTCGCCGGCAAAGACCGGTTAGCGTTTTGCACAAACTTTTCGGTGAGTGATATTACGATGTATACTACAATTATGAATGTTATGATGCATAGGACATGTTTTAGGATGGTATATTACTATTCCAACCATCGAATGAGTAAATACGGGTAGATACTTACACAGATATTCGTCCGTTCAAGACTGGCGGGGCGTTGCCGGCTGCGAACCGCGGCTTGGTAGACATTTCTGCGAATTGCCGGCATCCAAAATTTTAACAATATGTCCAAGTTCTTTATTTATTACTTTGGATATTAGTTAAATACAATTTTTTACTTTTCAATTTCAGTGGGTACTTTGTAAATTAATTTGTTAATGTTGTTGTATTTATATACTTTAATTGGAAATATATTATTACATAATATTATTATTAGTTGTTCTTAGCTGCTTTTTATTTCATAAGCGTTTTGTTAGGTTGTGAAATGCTAAGTTGACTTCAGAATAGGATAGACAGTTAGTTCAAGGTTTCACAATAATTTTTAATGCTGGTAATTTCTGTTAAATTGATATTTAAAACTATTTCGAACATTAAAAATGTTCGAGATATTATTTTTTTGAATATTGAAAGTCTAAATAATAATATCAGTGACGTTATATCAACTTATAGCGTAGTTTAATAGAATTAATTAACAAATTTTAAATTAACAGATTTTTTAAATTATAAGCAAATTTTAAAATTGGGATAGATAAGTTTTTTTTAATAAGCATATGATAAAATTAATTATGAAATAAATATAATAACTACGATGGATCTTTGTAAAATTAATAATTATGTCAATAATCTGGTCGTATGGCATACAATGTTGTTATAAATGTTTATAGTAATACAAGATATTATTTCACTATATATGTATGAATACACTTATATAATATCTACTATAATAAATATTTATAACACTGCATCACTCGAGGAAAATACAAAATAGCGGAAAAACTTTACGTATTTGTTTATTAGTAAACACAAGTTTCGCGCCATTTGTCTGCATGTAAACAAAAGTATTATTCTTCCACTTTCTACCTGGCCTTAGAAAGCCTCCGTAATTTCGCTGAATATTGGAGTGCTTAGCGTCTCAGGTAAAATTAAAAAAATCAGTCGGGACAATGACTAATAGTATGAACTGGGATAGGCCTCAAGGCCGATGTACTGTTTAAAATAGTTGGTATTTACATCCAGACTTCAGTATACTTTCGGGCTTCATACGATGCGGGTCGCCAGTAACGGTCACTAGCACTGTACTGCCGCAATACTTGTTTATAAATACGACGGTCAACACTAGTGTTTATATTTACGACAATATTTTACAAATATTTTTTTAAATTCTTTATTAAACATAGAACTTAATCCGGACTTGTGCAATATTAGGTAAAGATATTTAGTGTTAAGTTTTAGTTATAGTGTGTCTGAAGTTTAATGAAGTCCTTATATTAATGTTATTTTTGTTTTTGTTGCAGACGGTGTGCGTGGATACATCGCGCGCATCGTCCTTGTGATAAGAGGGCCCTGTGATATCGACGCGTTCGTCTTAGCTTTAACACTAGTTAGGTATTAGTTATACAAAAATGTCGCCCCCAATAGACGCCCACATACTGCATTTGGACGCCTGGGAGAATCTGGACCAGGAGTCCATGGAATTGACACACACCTCGGAGTTCTGGACCCAGGTTCAGTATGAAACGGACCGGCTCGACCTGATCCCGCCGACCGAGCTCAGCAACCTGCTGACGGACAGCGAGGGCGACTGGCGGATCACGGACACGCCGGAGGAACCCCACAAGGACAACATCGTGCACCACGACTGTATGTGGGCCGGCTCCTGTATAGACTCAGTGCACCCTCCCAGCAACACGTTCGTCAAGTCGGAGCCGATGTCTCCGCCGCCGGGCCAGAGTCTCCTGCGTCGGGACCAGTCCCCGCCGCGGCCGGACACTCCCCCCTCGCTGGACGGAGACGAGCCCCCTCAGTTCAGACACGCGGTGGACGTGGCCGGCACCGCGCTCAGGCTGCTCAGGGACTCGGCCGCCGTGGCCGCGGACCACTCCTACACCCTCGCCAGACAACACTTCGACTGCCTCGGGGTCCAAACACCTTCCGACTCCTGTGAATCAGGTCAGTACATCACTACTATCACATTTATATTATAACGAAATATTGCAGTCGGTACAATAATCTAACGGAATGTGTAAATTATGTCCGCTCGAGTTTTACTACGGAGCGAACCGGCCACTATTCTACTATGTAGTCGTTATATTTAAATATCCAATAGTAAACCTATTTGTAAAGTTCGCCGTGAGCAAACACGCGAGTCCTCGAGTCGGCACTCGCAGTTTTATATTGAATAATCATAAACTCGTCGGATAGGAGCGACGAATAATGTTTGTCAAGTTACACAAATAATGCGAGAGATACTAAGTTCATAAATGGGTTTGGGGACTTACGGACGGGGTTTAAAGAATACGACAAGATGGTAGCCGGGACGCTGACAGGACGCAGGCGTGCGGACGAGAGCGCGGGAAACTGCGTATCGACCGCCTCCCCCTCCCCCTCCCCCTCGCCCCGGCCCTCCACCTCCCCCGACCCTTTTCCATCGTCTAGACGCACTCGCTTCCGGCACCTTCGCCTTCGACCTTGAACGACAACCTTCCTTAATGTCAAGCCTCATCCTCAAACTGCCTCATGTAATGACTGCGGACCCGGGGCTGTAGCCAGCTATCGGGTCGGTCTCCCGGGGAGTCCAGAGGTCGCCGGGACGTCCCGACATTGAACACCCGCCACGGTTAAGGTTAACATCCTCGCGTCCCGACCTCCGATAAAAATGATGAACGCACTCCCGAAAGTTTAGAGCGGGGGAACAGACAGACAGGGCTTCGATGGATTCAAATAAAACCGAAAGGTTGCTCGCGCTCGGCCACCGTAGCAATAGACGAATTAGTTTTCATTCGATATCAGGACATTAGATAAGAAATTCGATATTCCCACACCGGAACTTGAAGGGTCTCCTCGGAGTGACGTCAGCACGCGTGCTCTATTGTATATATGACACTATCATCACCACGAGTAATGCCGTGTATTAATGATGAGGGACGGTAGACGACCAGCTCGGCTCACTCGTAGTACAGTGAAGCTTGTAATTAATTAAGTTTATAGAGGATTGCATTCCTGGCGTGTCCGACGTCGTCTAGTCCGTTATTTGTAAAGAATGCAACGGAATGAAATGGAATCTCATTGAAGCGGCGAGCCGGCGGACCGGTTCCCGCTCACGACAACCCGGTACAGTGATCCACCGACCCCAGCAACCAGCAACCGGACAACCAGACGACAAACCGCCCCAGCCGCGAAGACGCCTTCATACTAGTGTAGCATTAGTGTAGCAACTACATTATTTGATCATCATCACAATAAACATAAGCGATTATTAGCGCTCGATATATTGATGAGAATTAACTTAAGTGAAGATTTAATTTTAATTTTTGTCACCTTTTGATAGTTATCGGTCTGAATGCACACATACTATGAAATTATAAAAATGTATGAGGGAGACATCGTTTTAAGTTCTAACCTAATAAAGCCAGCGATAAGCGCACGGCGCTAGGTGCTTTTGACCCGCTGTTATTATCTTGATAGATAGCGTGTAGCCGGCACACATCTAGGATATTTAAATTCTGTCTCTATTTAGATCGATTAAGTAGGCCGGCTCTGACTGAGTCGTGTGTATATTGTGAGCTCCTTTAAGGCGATTCAGGCCGAAAGATCCGGTTTTAGAGCCCCTGACGGAATCGATCACTCGACCACGTTAATAATGATTGCGATATATCATAAAAAATTGTCACTCTATCAACGAAATCATCTCGAGACGTCAATGTTGCCGGCTAACTGTAGGGCTGTCATAAATGAAGGATAATATAAAGTTGCAATGCGTGTTTAATGCCCTTGGACGCGTAGTTAAAGCAATTTGAACGGTTACATTAGGTATTTCTAGCGACCTAAATATTGTATTAGGTACTTGTACGCAGTCACAGTCGCCGAGAGCCGGTACTTTCATATGTACATACGACATTCATTAAGATAACATTACAAATTGCATTATAAGTCACACGGGCGAGTAGCTACATACCTGTCTAGAATGAGAATATATTATTGAGAGAAGTATTGTTAGATGTATTATATTTAATTCGGCAGGTCCCATATGTCTGTATCGTGATGTGACGCGACCTTAAATTTATCGCTATATATTTGGAATTATCGCGTGGCAGATAAAGTTTCGCATTCGAGATGACTGAAATACTAGGTCAGTATGCGATCGTAGGCATTCCTTTTAGGAGTTTGTAGAGTACGTCCGCGTGAAAGATACTAGCTGTGTATATATGTATTGATTGAAATAACTTAACGCATAAGTTGCGGGGGAACACACGACCGTATTAAAATCAAACATTCGGTCACAGTCGTAGCTCTGCGTCGCCTTATTGGCCTCCGAACGGCCTTCACGATCAACTATCAATGGCGATAACAATATTGCAACGTGTCACACTAACATAAATTTGTATTGTCTTATCACGAAAAAGGTCTTAAGTATTCTCACGTCTGATAACACGCCACGGCAACAAGATAACCGCAGTCACCTTGATCTCACCGAATTAACATTCTTTTTTTTAATGAATAAAATTATTTTAATATTTATACGTCTGTTAATTTTCCATACGTTCGTCCTCAGTAACACGAACTTTTGGACTGGTTTTGTAAAATGTTGAATATTTAATAGAATAAAATTATTTACACTACGTGTTTGTTCTATGGTAATTATAGATTTTAGTATAGAAATATATAAATTTATTAAACAATTTGTAATAGGCGTGGTTCGCACTTACGTACAACGAGCAACTGGTTTAGACGAACCGGAAACAATAATACGACGAGACGAGATCGCTAGTTTAACAACATATGACATTTAGATAGGTCAATGCTAAGCTATTGTATTATAATTTATTTAACTTGGCCACTACTAATTAATACAGTCGACTATTAAACGGGTCGAGCGTCACGAACAGTACACCCTTACATTGTTTCGATGTACATAATTATATCAACAGATATTTAAACCAAGTATTATCAGCCAGGCGGAATATTTTTCGAGGCACATACGTCCGTGAACTTCCGCGCCGGCTCCCAAGGTCGCGTCTATCCAATCGATCCGCCATAAATTACCACCGCCTATTACAGCAGGCACCGGGTCTCGAGTGCTCACAACAATCATGACCGACTTTTGTATATTACGTAATGCGCCAGAAATATCAACCCGCATGTAGGCCGATACACTGTTCACTAGCGCTAATATGGGCGGAACGGAACGCCGGCGTGCTGGCCCTCGGAGCCGCGATGATCGCCAAATAAAGAAGACGATTCCTACAAAGATCTGTGCTATGTATGTCGTTTAGTGGACGTATTCTCCATAGAAAATAAGAAAACTTTATAACAGCTTGTAAGTAACGGTCGAAGAAGTGGCACGGACTCTGCATATTGTAATTAGTATCGATCATACAATAGTTATAACAGGTACATATACAGGCTGAGTCTCGGTTACGTCGTCCATCGATCGTTGTGATAACCGGCCGATAGACTCTGCCGCGAGAGGTACGAAGGACGGCCGAGGTATTTATCACGTTATCATCATCTCCATTGTCAATAGACATCCCTCACGGAAACGTTACGAAATATTGAAGTCTCGTTGTCAGTCGGTAATCAAGTTAGAAAGAATCGTAAAAGTCGCCGAGTCATTTCCTCGCAAGTCTCGGCAGAGTCCATTAAGCCTCGCCGTGTGCAGCTCTCGGATGTGTATTTCTTTTTGAATCCATCGTCGATATCAAACAACCTGTATAGGATGGCGTGAGCTGCGAGCGCGTCACGATATTTTTTAATGATCGCTCTCAAATGCCAGTGAACTTGGCCTCGGAGCGTGGCCGGCGGAGCGTGTGGCCTCCGACTTAACAGGTCACACCTGACGACATCACACAGACTACCCCTTACGGTGTAGGGCGGGCCCTAAACATTGTTAACGAACAGTTATAATTCACTACCTCATTAGTTATTTGTTTCTCTTCAATGACGTTTAAATGTTTCATTGTTGGTATTACGATTAAGTTAACATCTATAGCAGGCTATGTCTGTAGTGTCTGGTTGTAAAATAAGCGTTTAATTGAGAGTCTATGAGTCATTGTGTTTCTCACGGTGATACGGCCGCTGACTAGAAATTGTGATTAATCATATCGAGTGGGAGAACTCGTCCGAGACATTCAGCTGATTGTGCATATCGAATTGTATTTATATAAAGATATATGTATTTATAGCTAGCGATGTGAAAGGTAGTCACGTCGACTTCGCTAAATCTTTGACGAGCTGAAGAAAATTGGAACGGCGGTGGATCAGAGACGCGAGTCAAGCTATGTCGATTTATAATAGATATGCAGTAGACCGGAGACTCGGCGCACAATGAGGGGCGTATCGCTTACACGCAGTCTTGAAACAATACTCTCACATGTCCGTTAATCGCGTCGGCGCCACAGAATGAGAAAATAGTCACGTGAAAATCGACCCCCCCCTCACAATGGATGTTCCTCGCCTACATTTAGACGTCATGTGAGCCGTGTTTGACGACAGGCGCCTATAAGCAGGACGGAATTAGATCGACGCGCCACCGACATACATGTTCGAGAAACTATGCGGAAATCAAATAAAAGATTGCGTTGGTGTGAAAATTTATAGTAATTTCGACATATTATGCGTTTTTTGTTACTGCGTAGTTGAAAATTACGAAGACGTCCCTGAGTCTCGGCCGAGGCAGATTTGTAATCGAACAGCTGCCCACTCGACTCTGTATATTTAGGATGTAGCCAGGTATGACGACCGACCATTTGTAATACTTCGCGAACTATGCCATCTCCGGCGGCCGACATCAAAACGAGCGCCGGAATTAATTATTTGATAATAGCGCACTTACAAACGATAGATATAGCGATATAGAATACGTTACACTGAACATGATTCCTTGAACTGCTTACCAATCATCCATTCATAGAATTACAATGTCTTTTTTATGCCGCACTCGACAGTTTTCTGCATTACTATCATTGCAAAACTATGGAATTCAGGCCGAGTTTCCTTCAATATAGAATTACACCTCCAATACTATTTATCATAAATATGCGCCGAGCGTTCGAAGCGTTATTGCCTAAGTGCTAAAAATTAAATGGCATTTTAAACATTCATTTATCGATAATAATATATATTTTTTAATTTTTTCCTGCTCATTTGGGAGTTCTAGTCCAATGGCTTCTACTCTAGAAAAAGCAGGTATATTATATCAGGAGGACGCCCGTGTTGAGGCAGTTACTGTTGACGCCACCAACTCCGTACGTCTACCACATTAACAAAAACTATTACCCTCTACCGAATTGTCGCTGCGTTATAATTACAGTGATCTAAATATACGTCATCGGCGTCGCTAATATGGCTCGTTCGATGCGTGTCCACCGGTTGATATCCGGACGTCCATTGAGTGTGGACGCTGCGGCAGAAACCGCGCACGCGCTCTAGTTTTGGCGCGAATAACCGTGACGTCAGGCGTCTGGATCGATGTCGATAGACGCTGCGGTAGTACGACGTCGGGGTCGACGACCTCCCTCCCCCCTCCCCCTCATACCCATACCTTCACCCTCTCACCCACGGCCCCCGACTACTGCAATCGCATCCCACCACGGGTACACGAGGTCCGTTCGTCCCGCGCACCTCCTATAGACAATCACCCGCTCTTTATGGTGATGCAAACGTAATGAACGCCATGAATGAAAATATGTTAGGAATGCAACGATTTATGCGGGCTCTATGAAAAATACTATTATTTTAATTATGCCTCGGTATCGTCGCGTAAACGGTTTCGAGGAATGCGTATTTTAATGATATATTTTTACGAGCCTTCCACCAGTCCTATTGTTGTTCCTATAACGAGGATTCTAAACGTTTTCTCCATTGTTGCAGAGGAGGAAATCGATGTGGTATCGTTGGGGACATCCCAGCAGCCGCTGGCTTCAACGTCGCCCGTGAGAGTGGACTCGCTGCCCCGAGCACCTTCCGTTCAGGAGCGGCACCACATACAGCGCACCGTGGAGAACGTTATAACGAGACCCCCGGCCAGGAAACGCCTGGTGCCGCCCACTAGCATACCCACGGCCTCCGTGCCGCGGCGGCGGAGAGGTCCCGGCAGACGAGGGCGCTCCAACACTGACACGGACTCGGAGGCAGAGAGTCCGGAGATCGAGCGCCGGTCCATACACAACGACATGGAACGGTTGAGACGCATCGGCCTAAAGAACCTCTTCGACGAGCTCAAGAAGCAGATCCCCGCGACTAGAGACAAGGAGCGGGCGCCCAAGGTCGTGATACTGAGAGAAGCGGCCGCCCTGTGCCGCAAGCTGCGGGAGGAGGACCTCGAGAGGGAATACCTTAAGAAGCAACAGAATAAATTGATGACCAAACTGAAGAAAATGCGTACGATGCTCGCGGCGCGGTACCGGCCGTACTGAGCGGCCCGCCGGACGGCGTGGGCAAGGTTATTGTAAGAGAGGCAGAGACTTCCGCGTCACCCGCGCTCGACACGAGTCGTAGGAGCCGCGAGTCATCCCGGATCCATCCATCATCAGGGACTTCGTCTTCGTGGCGTTGTTCAACGTGTCATTAAAATATTGTTAAAGTACTATTTGTATCAGCTTTTACGGCTTACTCTGCTTCTGTGGTGAGGCGCGCCGGTGCCGCGGCGTGAGCTGCGTGTTTGTTCTGCTCAAACGACGTTCGCAGTGCCAAAGTGAGCCATAAAGCTGTCGTTCGTGAATCATAGGTCTTCAGTAAAATAATCTTAAATAGCTACAGACTGCTTAATGAACTCAGTAGACTGGTTTTACCTCTAAAATATTTTTTAAATTTATCAGATTTTAAATTGACATTACCAGGTCGGTCGATCGAATGACATTGTTTAATTAGTATTTGACGGGAAGATGTTTTTTACTGGACACCTTTATGTACATACTGACATACATGTAGAGTGACGGTAGTCTTGAATTTATTAAGTTAGGCTGGCGGTGTGTGTTGCTGGCTTTACGGAGAGTTTTGAGGCGCTGGCCATTATATATGTTTTAGGCCCGGTTCGGAGGAGTTTTGTTCGTCCCGCTGCAGGCGGGGTAGTGATATCTATATTGTTTTAACTTGATATTATAATTGTACACTTAGATAAGTTCGCTTACGGTTTTTGTAGTGTTTTTTTTTTTTGTTATTTTGTAAATTTTAACACTTTTAATGTTTATATATATATTTCGACGCGCAATTAACTCCGAGTCAAAGTGTCAGTGTAATATTTTGAACTTTTGGTCATGTTCAGCTAATTAGTTTTATATGCACCCATATAAATGCATTTTATAACACTTATCTTATAATATTACATGGTATGATATGATATCTATGATTATTTTATAAAAGCGACTGATTTTTTTCGTATAATTCTGGTGATAAGAAAATTATTAGTACGCGCGATAAAGTTAAAAAAATGCACTATCATGAATGTAAATGTATCATAATTATTGTTTTGCTTTAGGGTTATACAGATTTTAATTTGAACCATCCTAAGTTAGCTAGCTATAGTTGTTTGTTTCGTTCATAGGCTGAGATCGTTGAACAGTGAACAGTGAACATAATCTCAGTGAGTAAGGTTTCCGTAGCGTCGCTCGGTAACGCGACAGACTCTTGTGTATTTTGATAACAACATCAGGACCTACGACTACAGATCGCCTGTTATTTGGGCTTTAACTTAAAAAATAACCACGAAATAGTTCCTCATAGTACCTACTAATAGAAAATTTTGCATTTTCTTTTTATTATTATATTAATATTTTATTGCAGTAAGTTAGTGATGTATTCGCGATAGTTACGATAGATTTTTGATTAATATTAAGCCTGGCCGGTTTTACTTTTCCGCCGGGCTCACTGAGGGTTGATGTTTTATCAAGCACATGGTCAGCAGAATTGTAAGTTTGAAGGCTTTAATTGTGTGCGGAATGTGCCTTGCTATGTACATATACCATATATAGATAATATAGGTTTATACTCGAATTAGTTGCAAGAAATATTTTTTTGTGAGAAATATTATCGTAGGTATATAGCATTGTTCTTATAAGTAGTGGTGCACGACGAGGTTAGAGGTATCGTGTTAAAGATTCGCAGTTTATCTTCCACTAGACGTAAAGTGTACATAATAGGGACTAGATCATAGTTATATGGCAACTTTTTTATAAACTAGTTTTTTTTTCTTGTAATTGTTTAATTTTTTTTTTCATAACTGGAGAGTTACGAATTCTCGAATGTTGTACCTGCATTTAATTTTGTTTTGTTAAACTTGACATAAATAATAAAGATAATAATATTGATTTAGTTAAAGAGCAACATTGGCTTCATACGGTGTTCTGATGGAAAAAAATAGTTTTACATAAAAGTCAGTAAGTTAATGGTTTATTGGTAAGAAATGACAGCTTTATATTGGATAGACAGATCGAGGTAATAAAGGCAAAAAGCAATGCACTTTATTTGTGACAAGGCACATTTCCACCACTGCCAAATGGAAAATATGAGTAGAGAATTTTTTTACATAGCAACTTGGTTTGTATATTATATAAATAAGGTTGGGATGAATAAGTCATGTTATAGATTAATTTTTATTACTTTTTCTTTGCATAGTATCCGTTTGTAAGAAATAACATCTAACCGTCGTTCGGGCCGGGGGCCGTTCGATGTAATTTTTTTAATATGATATCGATGTATCGATATGTCGGGAGTCTTTGGCGGGCTCGTCACTCGAGCGACGGTTGCGTGTACGCCGCTACAGAGAATGCAGGATGCAAAATAGATTCCGCCTAACATTAATGTTGCACTTTGCAATCTTTGAAGCGGCGTTTAAAATTACGATAACATGTGTACTTACCACTGAGTTTTTTTTGGATACTATTATTATGAGGAGAAAAGTTTTTGGTTTTTGTTCCTTAATTATGTGTATCGAAAACATTAAGATTATCAATAAATATGAAAATAAAGTATGAAGGCGGACTCTGCAGTGCTCGGAAACGGTTTTAGATTGTGACTTTTATACTTTTGGTATATAACTGGGAGGAGGCGGCGTTCGCCTCGGATTCTGTGATTTATTTGTACCTGTGTGGTACTCGTGGGATACTGTCTTCCTTGCTCTGCTTAGTCCGGCTGGAAAAAATATATTATGATTTTCATTTTGATACCCTGCCCCCACCATTATATCCTTACCTTTAAATCCCTTACAATCAATTTTTATAATACGACCTTGTTCCATATTAATAAGTATCCACTGAGATACTTACGAAATTTGAAGTATGATGAAGTAATTGAAGTAGAGTATAATACAATAAAATTGAATATTTCATAGGTTCGTAAAAGTTTAATTATGATTACTATTGAAAACGATTACTTTGACTATCTGAAATATTCTCTATATTTAATATTGAGCTAATCTTGGTCTAGTATAGTCTAGAGCGATACGTATATTTAAATGAAAGTAGGTTAATCGTAGATTTCGTCTAAATATAAACAACACGTAGAAGTCTATCTTTACCGACGACGTAATACAAAACAATAAATTTACTTCGAGATCACTAACGAACAATTGAAAGTTAAAATTACTTTTTATTACAAGTGTGCTCATAATATGTTACAATTACTATTTAACAAGAGCCAGCAAAACAAATAGATGCCACATGCAGGTCCACGTGAAACCCTATCATAAACACATCTGTGACGAACGACCTTTACTAAAAATGGAACGCGTTGCAGCATGAAGCTGTCAAAACAAACGTGAAGTTAGTTGAGGTGTGAAGTGCGTGCGTGTGTTTCTGTGATGGCTCTTAGATCTGTGATTTCTTCTAAAATTCCTATGGTGGTTATCCTAGGAGCCACAGGAACAGGCAAAACCAAGTTAGGAGTGGAGTTGGCTCAAAGATTTGGAACAGAAATAATAAGTGCCGACTCGATGCAGGCAAGTAAGACATAACCTCAAAAACTCTTTGTTTTTGTATCGTTACAATAGCTCTGTGCTGATTTATTGTCAAAGATATTGAATTGCATCGTATTTATATTGTAAAAAGAATTTAAACTACTAAATTATCTACAATACTCGTACTTAAACTGTATATTTAAGTTTTATAAATCTTAACCTCTTTCTCACCTGTTACTTCTATTTAGACCAGAACCTCCAACCCAAAACATGAATAATGTTTAAATATTTTAATAAAAAGAGGTTCTTATTTGATTATTAAAAATGAAAAAGTAAATTCTATATTCATAATTATTATTTGAATTTATAAACAGATCCATACCGTCCCACAAGAAAATATACATTTTATTCGAATAATTAAATTTTACACACTCTCAACTTTTGACATCCTACAGTTCTATTATTATCATTTTCTACATCAGTAGTTTTATATGAAAATTTTCATTCATTCCAACTTTTAGTTTCTCGGCAAGAAACTCACTTAAAATCCGTCAATAGCACACAATTTAAAGGTTTTAGTACAAAAAACGAATTCATAATATTAAAATTCAGTATACTTATTTAGCTTGCATTTGCATCACTATTATGAAATACACATCTAATACAACTATGTTGTGAGTACTTGTGCAATACTTTGCAACATTCCGATGCATAACATTGTGACCACTTTTGTTCTATCTTTTAGATTCATATCATTTGATAATACCTTGCTTGGATAATAGTGAGCGAGCGGTCATTCATTTGAAAATACTTATATATGATGTTTCCATTAACCTTTAATATGTTGAGTAATTCTTGAGATCATTAGTTATTAAATCGTTAATTCAATTAACTTTAAATATTCTTCTGTAACGGTAAATTATTTTAATGTGTGTGAGTATTATTGCATAACATGATGTATTTGTTTTGTACTTAGTATAAATGATATGACAGAGGAACAAATTGGTGAGGAGATGTTATTATAGTTTTAATTTCTCAATAATTTAATTAGAAAAATATTGAAATGTAAATAAAAATTTTGATATTTATGATGAAAAAAATATTTTTTCGGATAATAGATTTTTTTTTAAATGCAGCTTTCAAAAGGCAAAGTTTTCTATGTATGTATTAAGATTCTAGAATTATTAATTTCAATTAAAAATTTTATAGATTGTGCTTCTGATATGCTCAAAGTTAATTAATTTATTATTATTATTTGCCACAAGACTATGCAATGTTTTCATACTGGAGATTCGCACTCTGTCATAGAAAAAATATATAATTTTTTTTATATATTGTAGCTATTAATTTAAAATAATAGTTTTATATTTTAAATATATTCCACTAGGGTGATGATAACATATATTTTTGAGATTTCCATAGATAATTATAATTTTTTTTCATGTGGCATATGAATATTAAATTAATTTTTCTAAGTTCATTATTCAAGGTCATCAGAGCGTTATTATTTTGATCTCAATGTTTTGTGTCTCAACTTCAAAACAATCATATACAATATAAATCAACATAATTTAGACGTCTATGTATAAAACATATATACACAAACGAGAATGACGCGATTCATGCTCAGCAACAAGTATTTTAGGCCAAATCACCAGAAAGGGTTTCTACCCGGGATTTCTGGATGCCTAGAACACAACACCTTGCTGTCGGAGAGTTTGAAAGATGCTAGAAAAAGCGAGCGGCAAATTACAGTTTGTTGGATAGACTTAGAGAACGCGTTCGGGTCGATACAACACGAGTTGATGCTATTCGCGCTTAGATGGTATAACTTTCCACCCTTAGTTAGCGATATGATTGCGTCGTATTACTCAAAATTAAAGTTTTCTATTATAACTAAAGAAGGCCCTTCAAAAAGTTTGAGTTACAATGTAGGACTATTCCAAGGGTGCTGTTTATCTCCAATAGTATTTAATATTGTAATCAATATCCTAGTAGATAAACTTATCAGCAATGAGAAAAAATGGGGGTATCGGTTTAAGTTCAATAACAAATACACGGAATCCATTTTAGCCTTCGCTGACGATCTCGCAATACTGACACGTCACCCCAAACACTGTCAAGTACTATTGGATGAAGTGGATAAATTCTGTGAGTGGACGGATGGATTGAGGACAAAACCAAGTAAATGTCACTGTCTGTGTCTTGGTAGGCGGAATACAAGATACACCTCATACGATCCGGGACTATTAGACTATCGATAGGCGGTCAATGCGTTTCTACGGTTACGGAAAATGCACCATTCAAGTTTCTCGGTCGTAAGATTGATAATATAGGTCGTACTCCATCTTTAGAAGGAATAGTAGATAGCTTTTTAAATGATCTCAACAAGGTAGATAGCCAGCAGATCAGTAACGTAAAAAAAGCATGGATCTACGATAATTACTTAACTTCACGTTTGAATTGGCCTTTCCTCGTCTATGATTTTAGTAAAACCCTTTTATCTAAATTAGATGCAGGCGTCATAAAGATGTTGAAGTTGTGGCTCGGGCTCGCGCTAACGGCTGACTCATCGGCTTTATTCAGGGATCGTAATAGTTTTGGGATGAATCTAAAAAGACCATCGGAGCTCTACAAACACCTAAGAGTTTCCAAGAGACATATCCTGGGAAAATCCCATGATGACGTCGTTACATCACTCCCAAAAGACAATGATGCCCCAGAGCTAGAGTCACGACTCCAATTCCATAAACAATTTATGATCGGAGCGCAAAATAACAGAGTAGGGTTAGGATCAAGTAGGAAAGTGCAAGATACGGATATATTGAAGTCTTTTATTCGGCAAGACGAGAACGATAAATACAAGATCCATGCAATGAGTTTAGAAATGCAGAACGATTGGTTAGACATAGGAGATTTTTGCATTCCACTAGCACTAAAATGGCGCACCCTAATTCATGACTGGTCGCCAGCCTTGCTAAAATTTTATCTCAATGCGTTCCAGATGACTCTCCCAGATCAGAGTAATTTAGTAAGATGGGGTAAAGGTACCAAAAAAACTTGCTATATCTGCGGAAAGGCAGTTGGAACTGCCAAGCATTTGCTGGTGGGATGTAAGGTTCTCCTGGACAGCGGTCAATACTCGCGTCGTCACGATAGGGTTTTAGAGATCATACGTGAAGCGGTTAGTCTTTCGGTAGCCAGAGCGCAAAGGGAAATAACCACAAACGAGCGATCAATAGGTTTTGTGAGAGAGGGCACCAGGGCTATAAAATCAAACGTCAAGCCTTACTCTATCCTTAAAGCGGCTTCGGATTGGACTATCATGATGGATACGTATGAGAAACAATACAAAATCCCCGAGGATATTTGTGCGTCGGCCTCCAGACCAGACATATTTCTATATTCGCGTATTTTAAAGCGCGTTGTGATGATAGAGCTTACGGTGCCTTGGGAAACCAACATCCCCAAAGACCATGCCATCAAGGTCAATAAGTATTACGAGCTCACTAACGAACTAACTCGAAATAGGTTCGTCGTTGATTTGTACGCGGTAGAGGTGGGAGCGAGAGGTATAACAGCTAAATCTCTCTATAACCTACTAAAAGACTTGGGCCTGTCCAGAACTAACATTAATTCATTCTTAGAACGTACGTCGAAGGCAGCCCTAGTAGGTTCTTTTCAAATTTGGTTAGGTAGGGAGAGGAACTTGGACAGTGGAGGTGAGCGTATAACGCGCGTTAGTTAAGGGGCCCCTTAAACCTACACCTGGGTCGCAAGTCCCAGGCACTGTTGAAGCTCCTCTCCCTGCAACGCGATGGACCCGGCACCCGCACGGTGAATCCATCGAATGCTAAGAGGTTTCGTCTCTCTAGGTTTTTTTGTGTCTTGAAAGTCTTTTTGTTATTCTGATTTGACCACTACTAAAATATTAATAAAAAATAAACATTCGTAATATTATAATCTAGTTAATTTGCTAAACATATTTATTACAGTAAAAGTAAACTTTTATTTCTGTTTCGTTTTATAGAAGTTAATTTAAGTCTTATTTATTCTCTGTTTTATTTTTTTTTTTTAATATAGGGGGCAACCGAGCAGGCTAGCAAATTATTATAATTATTATTCTTATTATAATGTAATATATTTCAATATTAACAAAATACACTCGTATAATGTACCGAATGATAACTATAGTGTTATTCTAAGTCAAGTTTTCCTTAACAATATATATTATAAGCGATATAATTCCTAAGTGAACATTTTAATGCAGCCGTTCCAAACAGACAAAGTAGTCATATCTTACACCAAACAAATTATAGTATCATGCTCTAAAACGACGCCATTTTCCCCCCGAATTCCGCTCCAGAACTCATTAAGTCGTATTTTTATGATTTTCACTTTTATTCGCCGCACTCGCACTCGCATCTGCATTTCTTTTTTTTTGTTTTTAATCCCAAAAACAAATGATGCAACATTAAGACTGTATCTCTTGGTTTAAATTCATTCACAGACTTTGTGTCCGCCGCCTCCGAAATAATTTAAACGTGTTATTTGGACAGGATTACATTAAGAATTAAGTCGTATGTGGCCGATAATTGGAATGTTATTTTTATTATTTATATTATATTGTGTTGGTGAAAGTTTCCATCATATGCTCGGGATGCAGTCCGTCTGTTGTCTGTTGTTCCTCGTGTTCGAGTTTGTCTACATGTTATATAACGAGACGCCTCACGCCGCTCCACTCGCCGGCTCGGGCTAGCCTTCGACGAGTCTCTGTCGTCACAGAACAAGAAAACGCTACAGATAAAACACATCTCACTCTATACTGACTATACAATAACTTCATTTAATATACTTATATTTAGACTTCCCAATAAGAATTATAAATAATAATCACTGATGAAAAACCTAGGTATTTTCCTTTTTTTTTCAAACTTCTTAAATTCTTAGACTTTTTTTCAATCTAATATCGTTATGTCATATTTTTTTAATACACTCCTCTATCAGAAACTATACCGTATTTATATTCTCGTATATGTTAAGTCGTAAATGTTTTTATGAATCCTTATATGTAATGATATTTGGGTTAACAGTTTTATATGTCGTATACATGAGTCGTAACTCGGAACCCGTCTTACAGTCATCCAGACGTGATCGCCGACTAGTTTCTGTCAACCTTGTATTCGTAGACGCGGAAACAATAAAACATAGAATTGGTTAGAAATTATCTGATCGTTTTGCATGTATGGTATAATTTGGGCAAGTGGCAAGTCTTGTTTGCATTCCGAACTGAGTTCGTCGCCTCGTTCAAGGCCCCGCCAACCCGTCGTGCCTCTGTCGAGTTGACTGTACTCTGCCTCCAAGGTTGCGAGTTCTGTCTCCATACTTTTTGTTCAGTTCCTTATTCACGTTCCCTAAATCCGTCTCTCTGGAACTCATGCTCCTCCTCATCCCAGACACTCATCGATCCTCACTCGAGCATCATATGATGTAACAACCATTTATATGGAGATTTTTCGGTCTCTATAACAATTTTCGTAATATTGCCATAACGGGTTTGGACGACTGTTGCGTGTTCTACGCATTCATATATTTTAATTTTCTTTAAATATTATTTAATTTATAAAATCAGTGCGACGTTTTAACTCCAAATTAATATTAACATTATTTTAATGGTAAATTAAAAATTACGTAGATGATCTCATTCCAAATCAAATAAACTTTACTCGAAATACGAAATATTACAAAAGCAATGTTGGAGATTTCAATTTCATTTAATCATTATGTCATTAATATTTATTTTATTAAATGTAGCATTTTGAATGAAATGGACAACGACAACTATTGTAACGAAGAAGTCTTAAAACGTCTTCAGAAACTAACGAAGTTGTGGCTTTAATTAATATCTATTATTATTAGTGAAGGCGCCACTTCTGAGAAGAATCGAAGATTTTCCTCAACGGAAAATGATTTTAATATATTCAAATACTATTTATATTGACGTATTACATCAGAATACTAATAAGAAATAATGTTCTAGCTTTATATTTTGTTTTGCTATTACACTTAAAGAGTATTGCGAACTTATTAAAGCCAAAACATAAATTATGACAATATATAATAATAGTAAATAAATGTTGTTAATCTGTTAAATGAATCTAGTGTCTGTTACAATCTGTGACGCATTCATTTGACTGATGATGTCATATCCACAGCGGCGGGTGTCAGCCAGCTAGTGATGTATAACAAGCGTTTTACTCGATTTGCAGATCATTACATCGTGTATACTAATTGATTATCATTTATACTAATATTGGATGCATTCGATTCTCTTCATTTAAACTGCTTCATTTAAACGGCTTCATTTAAACTGCTGTTAACAATACAAACAGATCCGAGCCTTATAATTCGTAATATATTTTGATCAGATGTCCATAACTGGAATGCTCCATGAATCATAGTTTGTCACAAAAACAGGTGTTCGTGATATTGATTTTCATTAAAGCTATCGATGCGCTGTCCGCGATCCTGATATCTAACTAATTTAGTTAAAACACAACGTTTGAATTAATCACCATTTTAACATAGGTACTTCATTAAAACATATACAGTGTAAACTCTATATAACGACACTGAAGGGACCGTGCATTTTAGTGCGTTATAGAGAGTTGCCGTTAAATAGAGGGAGGAAAAATCAGAATTAGAAAAAGACAAAGTTTGTTTCAGACTACTGTTAGTACTTATGTACATAAAAAAGAATGTTATAAAGTCTGTTGTTTTTGGTTGACGTGTTTTGCTGCACCAGTAATGTTGTTGTATTTTTTACGTATTTTATTCATATCTTGCGATATTGAGGCATATTGGTGAAGAACGAATTTCTTAGAAAGTTTGGTATGCATGATTAAAAGGTACTTTTTATTACTTAATGTTGTCGTTATTGAGAGTGTCTGCGACGCTATATAGAGTGTATCATTGTATGGTAGACAAGCTAAACCAACCAAAGTCAAATGATTTCGACGCTTTAGAGAGTTTGTCGTTACATCGAGTGTCGTTATATGGAGTTTACACTGTATATTAATTCAAATTAAAACTGGTTTGGTGACTTTATATATATATTTTTTGTCAATCAGAACACGACATTATTGTTTTATATTTATGTTTATTTAACATAAACTATTTATTAAATTTATTAAGATAGCTTCTTTCTGTCAAATGGAGGGTGAAAATTAAATAAATTTAAAGTTTCTTAAGAGATTACTAGTTTCTTAAGAGATTTTATTTATATATTAGATTTCCGCCCGCAGCTTCGTCCGCGTAGAGTTCGGTTATATCGCGTTTCCAAGAGAACCTTTCGAAAGTCTGGGATGAAAACTATCCTATGTTCTTCTTCAATGTCAACTCTATCTCTGTACTAAATTTTATTGAAATCATTTCAGTGGTTGAGGCGTGAAAGCGTTACAGACAGACAGAGTTACGTTCGCATTTATAATATTAGTAGGGATTATTTATATATCAACAATGTACAAAAAATATTTATATATTTTTTAACGACAGTACTTTATAAATTTGATCATATTTATTTCAATGCTTTTTGCTATTCAATATTTTTGTATGGTTATTTGACGCTTGGTAATTAATGCCGATGGTTTCCCGACATACATCTGTCCATGAGAAAAACAAGGATTTTCCTCTCTAATACTCGAAGATTGATCTATGATTTACTTATGGTCAGTGCAAAAGGAAACCGTGGAAAGAACAGTCATTTACGTTGCGTTATCACTACGATATATAATGTTTTCTAAATGTCAAAATTATATTAAAAATTTTTTTTCATCCTGACTGAAGATTCCACAGAAGAGCATTTTTGGATATGTTTACAATTTACGGAAATTTTGATAGTAAATTAAAAAAATATATGATAGTCAGTGCAATGTTTTATACAATATTTTTTTTGCCTTAAAACGTTCCGTAGGCCTTAAGGAGCATAGAAAAAATAGCTCAATTGATCGAGTCATTTTCAAGTTATGAGTTGAGTAACATATATGTACTTTTATTTATATAGATTAATAATTATTATTAGTATGTACTATCGTGTAGCTTTCTGTTTTTTTTAAATATTATTAGTTTATTTTATTGAAAATTTATTAACGCTAGATGTTTAACAACCATTATTTAAAACGACGTCACTGAATTTTAATTTTTTTCACACCCCTTTCGTCCCTATCACATATTATACAAAAAACCAGGATGTATACCAAAACCCAAATATATGTTTATTTTACGACTTATTAGATTAAGTATCAACTGTCATTAAAATCAAGAAGAATATTTTCATCTGGCCAGTACATAACTGTTCGAGAGTTAATTGTCAACATTGAACCGCGGGTACAAAGTGAGACAAGCTAAAAGCCGGTTAAAATGTCACATTAGAGATAGTCTCGAGTCACATGATCTTAATGTTACATGGTTCAGACTTCAGACAAACGAGTGGTCGGTGCTAATTATACTCGCACGCGCCACGACTCACAGGTTACTGACACAGCACTAGTGCCAGATCTAGAAAAAAACTAACTTTTTCTCTATTAATTCCTTTTTTTTCTAGAAATAGAACATGCTATTATATATCTCTGTGTATTGTTTTTGTTACATTATGGGTTAAATATTAAATGGTTGTTAATATATTTGTGAAGGTCTCCTGTTTCATAATAAACCCATTTTTTTTAATTTGATTATAACTGAACGTAACAT